CCTTTTATTTTCCCGCCTTTCATTTTCCCGCCATTTATTATTTTCCCACCTTTTTATTTTCCCGCCTTTTATTTTCCCGCCTTTTATTTTCCCGCCCTTTTTTTCCCCCACCTTTTTATTTCTCCACCTTTTATTTCCCCGCCATTCATTTTCCCGCCTTTTATTATTTTCCCGCCTTTTTATTTTCCCGCCATTTATTTTCTAACCTTTTATTTTCTCACCTTTTTTATTTCCCTGCCCTTTTATTTTCCCGCCTTTTATTTCCCCACCTTTTATTTCGCCGCCTTTCATTTTCCCGCCATTTATTATTTTCCTGCCTTTTTATTTTCCCGCCTTTTTATTTTCCCGCCTTTTATTTCCCCACCCTTTTATTTCTCCACCTTTTTATTTTCTCACCTTTTTATTTTCCCGCCCTTTTCATTTCCCACCCCTTTATTTTCCCGCCCTTTTATTTTCCCGCCTTTATTTCCTCACCTTTTTATTTCCCCACCTTTTATTTTCCTGCCTTCTGTTATTTTCCCGCTCTTTTATTTCCTAACCTTTTATTTTCTCATCTTTTTATTTTCCCGCCTTTTATTATTTTCCCACCTTTTATTTCCCCACCTTTTATTTTCCCACCTTTTATTTTCCCGCCTTTTATTTTGCCTCCTTTCATTTTCCCGCCATTTATTATTTTCCCACCTTTTTATTTTCCCGCCTTTTATTTCCCCGCCTTTTTATTTTCTCACCTTTTTATTTTCCCGCCCTTTTCATTTCCCGCCCTTTTATTTCCCTGCCTTTTATTTCCCCGCCCTTTTATTTCGCCTCCCTTCATTTTCCCGCCATTCATTTTCCCGCCCTTTTCTATTTTCCCGCCCTTTTCTATTTTCCCGCCCTTTTCTATTTTCCCGCCCTTTTCTATTTTCCCGCCCTTTTCTATTTTCCCGCCCTTTTCTATTTTCCCGCCCTTTTCTATTTTCCCGCCCTTTTCTATTTTCCCGCCCTTTTCTATTTTCCCGCCCTTTTCTATTTTCCCGCCCTTTTCTATTTTCCCGCCCTTTTCTATTTTCCCGCCCTTTTATTTCCCCGCCCTTTTATTTCGCCTCCCTTCATTTTCCCGCCATTCATTTTCCCGCCCTTTTCTATTTTCCCGCCCTTTTTCCTTTTTCCCCGGCAGCGGTGGGCGCGGCCTACGCCATCAAGCGCGCGGACGCCAGCCGGGCGGTGGTCTGCTATTTTGGGGAGGGGGCTGCGAGCGAGGGCGACGCCCACGCCGGCTTCAACTTCGCCGCCACCCTCGAGTGCCCGATCGTTTTCTTCTGCCGCAACAACGGCTACGCCATCTCCACCCCCACCTCCGAGCAGTACCGCGGCGACGGCATCGGTGAGGGGGTCTGGGGGGGTTTTGGGGGGG